ATTGTGCATGTAAATTTTTGTGTGACGAGGCTCGGTGATAAGACAACCTGTCTTCTTCTTGCTCCGGCCAGGATTTTCTTTTATTGTAATTTCTTTTTTGTAATTTTTATCAACGGCAAAATAAATAAATAATAATAAAAAAATAATAATAATAATAATAATTAGCAAAAACATAAATTTCGTAAGAACATATAAATAAAATTGGTATTAAGAAATTCTTGATACTTTTATTTATAAATACAAAAATATTTTAAAAAGTACTGTTTTCATAAATACTGTTTTCATAAACACATAAGATGTGGATCAGATATACTATTATATATTACCTTGCGTAATTAACTTCATATTCATTTTCAGAAAAATTTAAAAACACGTCTTCAAAAGATAAAATAATTTTTTTTAGTTTTTTCTTGGATAAAAGATAATTCCATTAATAAGAAAAACAAAATTTTTCAAAACTATTTTGTTCCAAAAAAAAGCTTCTCGAAATGAAATACATGATTTTCCAAAATTAGTTACAAAAAAAGGTTAACAAATTAGATTATCATTTCTTAAGTTATTTTTAAAACAGCAAAGTTTTTGAATATTGTAAATATATAGTAAAAGTTATATAAAGCTATATATCAAAGCTATAATATAAATTTAATATATATATTTAAAATATAGCTATATAAAAAGCTATATAGCAAAATTTTTCAAAATTGTATGTTTTACATAAATCTCAGTAGATCGCTAATATTAAAACATAATACATATTAAATTAACTATATGTTATCAATAAAACTTTTAGCTTCACGTACTTTACAACTTTTGTGAACCATTTCGATATATTAGCACATTTTTTACTCAAAATTACTTCTCTTTTTACAGTAAGACAAACCAAAAAAAAATTCGAATGTATTATTTCCGAATATTAACCTTACAAAAAAAAATAATAATAAACCAAGATCAAGAACAATGAGTAACGTACGCGTTACTCATTGTTCTTGATCAAGTCATTTTTGCAGATCGTGTGAAAATGAATTATTTCCTTATAACGTAAACTACTATTGTACTAGTCTGATTTTTACAGAATATCATTACGTTTCGCACGTTAGGAGCATTTTTTGCAATAAAATTTATTATTAGAATAATGCGACAAAACGTTGTCACCATTCAATAACCACAATCACTCTAAAGCAAAGACATGAAAGTTGATTCATTCAGTAGGCATTTAAAATTCTAAAAGAAATGAAAGATATGGAATGTCTTGAAACATATTTTTGCATATATGAAAATATATATGATCAAATATTTTACATATATGTTTTTCCCTAATAATTATAATTTAAAAGTATTTTTGGGGGGCCAAGGCACTCTTGGTTAACTCCCCCCCCCCCCCTCATCGGTAGTAACTGCTCTGTAATAGAAACTATTTTGAAATCAGGTTTAACATTTTGTTAAGAAAATAAAAAACGCATAACAACAAATGATGGACAAAGAGTCATTTATTTAATACAAATTTCACAAAATATGCAATATCATTAGATTAAAATTTAATGAACACAAAACTATTAAATGAAAGATTTAGACTTGTTCTATTGGCCACCTGCAAGTTTAGCAATATGGTGACTGGCAGATTTGATCTTGACTAATGCATGAAATGCAGAAAAGAAAATGTAGCAAGGCTAATGCCTTGCTACATAAGCAATTATTAGCAAGGCTAATGCCTTGCTAATAAGCCATTTCTGTTATTTAAAAAGCAGAAAACACTGACTTCAATATAGGAGACTCATCTGGATTATCTTACTTTTAACTTTAGATGCAACCTTATCATTTTTTTCTAAAATTAAAATGAAAACCTGTTGATGTGGTCAATTTTAAGGAAAAAAAAGGTTGTTTTGATGCAATTTTTGATTAACAAAAAGAATAACTTTGTATCACCAAGCTATTGTTGTATTATCAAGCTCTCTTTTTTTTATCATGATATGAAAGTGTTTACCTTACACAAAAAATTTGAAACAAGTTAGCAACTGCGCTAAAAAAATGTTCAGGAAATCACTCTCTGCGCTCCATTTTTTCTCAAATACTTTTTTCTTCTGAATAAAACTGTTATCACGTTGATTTCTTTGTATTGGCAGACTGTTATCCAACTGCTGAAACTTATGAAAAGTATGCTTAAATACGTGTTTGTAAATTAAACACATAAACTGCCAGAATCTTTTCCCATATTCAACTTTAACTCTTTATTCAAAGCTTCAAAACTATTGTTTATTTTGTGGTTAAAGGAAAAGAGACTGGACCCTTCAGTTATAACCAGGACTATCTAATACCTTACAAAATACCTTTGAAAGTAAGGAGTCTGGCTTTGGCAGCACTTGTAAACTGTGTTAGCTCAATGACATGTGAGCCTCTTACTCCTAGATTTTTTTAAATTGGTATCATGCAGAGACTCTTCACTTTTTCAAGCCTATTTTTTCAATAGTAGGAGATATTTGTGCGTTCTCTATAATCTATTGTTTTGTTGACTTACCTAATAAGTTATTATCCAATCAGTAGAAGGTAGTAGGATCAAACTCTGAGTTGAAGGAACTCTTTATATTAACAGAAAACTTAAAATTATCACATATCCTTTCATGACTTCATTATAAATATATATATATATATATATATATATATATATATATATATATATATATATATATATATATATATATATATATATACATATATATGTATGTATATATATATATATATATATATATATATATATATATATATATATATATATATATATATATATATATATATATATATATATATATATATATATATATAAGTATATATAATAAAATGTTATATATATATATATATATATATATATATATATATATATATATATATATACGAGTTAAACAACAAGTTATAGCCATTTAAAGTTTAAAGCTCCCTCAAAACGAGGGGGTTGTAAATTTAAACTAGGTATGATTTCTAAACAGCATAATATTTTTCAAAAAAATTTAGAACCTTAACCATATTACCACCTAATTTAGAATATTAGAATTCATATTTAGAAAAACCGATTCCCACATTTAAGTGGGTGATGCCTACTAATCAGCGCAAATTTTGGCAAATTATCCTAAAATAACTAAAGTATGAAAATACAAAAACTTGACGTTTAGAATTTGCCTGGAAGTTATATAACTCAAATACCGAAAAATCCTGGATCCACCCCAAGATATTGTAGTTTAATGTGTATAATTTATTTTAGTGTCAACGAATGATATCAGAGCTATAAATGTTTGTTTGACAAGATGATAAAAGTTTCATGCGTATTACAATAATCAGGTAAAACTACATTATGTTTTTTTATAAAATATGTACTCGTATAATATAATATGACGTAAAAAAACAATTATTAATTTATTTTTATTTGCAAGCGTGAGTATTTAATCTTTGGGTCGGTGGTTGTCAAGCAAATCTTATTTTAATGACGACACTGATATTATTACTGTTTTTGTGATTAATAATTTATAAGCAGTGTATGAGCTATTACAACTTTTTCTTGAAGTTAATTTAGCATATGTCTTATATATTTGCCTTTACATTTTTAAATAATACAAGTTAGCATTTAAAAAAAAAAAAAAACCCCGTTTAACACTTGGTTATTTTTCATGTTTAAAAGACAGTAATTATTTTAAAAAGAGTTTTATGCGCATGTGCTAACAATGTTGCTTAGCCAAACATTGAGTATTTAACAATTGATTGTTTATTAAATAAAATCATCAAATTCATTTATTGAAATAAACCACAATGAAATTTATATTTTAATTATTATTTTTAAAATATATCATTATTTCATATTAAAAATATTTTTATGGTACAATAAGTATTACAAACTTTGTTCCACAATATTAAATTTAATAAAAAAGGTTAACATTAAAATTTTGAAAAAAAAAAAAAAAAGGGCTTTTTTTTGTGGAACAAATTCTCTTTATAAAGAGAATTTGTTCCACAAATATTAAGGCCAATTTTGATGTTAACCTATTTTTTTTGGACATCGCATTTAAAAAATACTTACACTTTGCAAACATATATACGCAATTGTGCAAAATAAAGATAGTAAAATATATCCAAAGTTAGGTCTCAAAAATATAACTTATTTTAAAAAATTCCAGCAGAGTATTTTAACTACTTTTTATGTTTTGAATGACACAAACCTTCACAAAAACTCTAAACTTCAAAACAGCAGAAACAGCATTGCAATAATTTTTTAGAAAATTTATCAACATTTTTATTTATGATGAAGAGTTCGGGATGCGATCAATCAATTGAGTTTTACAAACACTTTTATTGCCTATATTCTTATTTTTCAATTTTCTTGCCCATTTTGTTTTTTATCAACATGTTAGCAAATTTAAAAATTAATTTTATACTGTCCTAAATCGTTAGAATATTTTTACATTTTATAATGGGAAAAACGGCAATTGTATTCTAGCTTATAACTCAAGGTGATTGCTTTGATTAAAGGGGTTATCGTATTTATTATTTAATATTATTAACAAATAAATACGTTGAATAATATTTAGTCTTATGTTTATTATAACAAAGAGCTAAAATGTATAACAAGTTAAAAATAGAAATTTGAATATAGTTGTATGTTATATTGAAAAAAAAAAACAACCAACCGTTGGACTAGTCGCATTTAACTTATTTGGGTGTATCTGTCTACAATTTATTTGGGTGTACCTGTCTACAATTTATTACCATAACTAATAAAATAAAAATTATTTTCAAATCTTAATTTTAAAAATTGAAATTACTTAAATAATATTTTAAATTAATATGCTATTAATATGTATTTACATTTTTTAATTTAGTTTTAATGTTTACAAAAAATTAGTTTTAATGTTTAGAAAAAATATTTATTAATACTTTTTTAAACGTCACTCAATAAATATGCCAAAAAAATCTATACGGAGAAGATCGATTTTATTTTAATGTTACAAAAACAAAAATCTCCGGTATCAAAAGTCATTATTTTCCGCCTAAAAATCATTAGGATAATTTGAAGTCGGAAGTTTATTTTTTATTTAGAGAACTTAAAATGTTTAAACGAGAACAAGTAAGTTTTTATTACTTATCTAATTAAATTTTATGATTTTTTCTTCTTTAACATTTACTAAATTACAGGAGAAATTCAAAGAAATATTTAAAATGTAGTTTTTCATAACATCAATGTGTTTTGAAAGATGCATTTAATTGTGATAAAAAAAAAAGTATTAATTATTGTAACTGTTTTTGTTTTTAACCATTGGTTACCACCTGTTACCATTAATAATGAAATTATGAGAAGAATTTTTTTTTTTTCTATAAGGTCTTAAAGGGTGAACACCTTCACTGATTCCCTTATAAGTTATTATAACTTTAAAAGTAAAGTTTTCTAGCATATATAAATGCATATATATTAGCATTCATCAGAGAGCTTTATTTTAAAAAAACTCTTTAAAGTTAGGAATTTCAAGAATTTATGTTTTCCACCTTCCCCCCTACCCTACCCTAATTTTTATTCTTTTTTTTTTTTTTTCTTTTTTTTGGTTATTTTAAATTTTTACGTATTCCTCAGTTTTGATAATAATTATACTTTTTCTAATGTTGGATTTATGTACCCTACGGGCATTTGTTTTTAAAAGTTACGTTCTAAATGTCTTTTTTTAACGTTTTTAAACGTTTTTTAAACGTCTTTTAAACGTTCTTTACGTAAGAACGTTTAAAAGACATTTAAAAGACATTTAGAATGTAACTTTTAAAAACAAATTCACGACCTATAGGTCGTGTTTTTTTAAGCAAAAAAAAATTAAATTTAAATATATTTTTGTACTCAATTTAAATATTTAAAACAAATTTTCATTTTTTTACAAAATTTCTCTCACTCAAAAACTATATTTATCAAAAAAGCTCATGTGATAATAATCTCTTGGTGTTTTTAAACGTTTTTTTAAAAATTATGATTACGTACGTTTTACAACCTTTACAAATACAGTTTAAATATTCTTAGTCATAATCTCTGAACAACAAGAAATTATTATATGAAGTTTATAATCAATAATTTACTTTAACTTTCGGCAAAACATGTTTGAAAGCTTAAAATGGCATATTATGACAAAATATCACATTTCGTAATGGTGTGCATATTTTATTTTAATGTTCTCATACAGAACCCATCATAGTATATGACTCTCATACTTATTGTATTAGACCTTTATACTACCTTATTTTAAACAGTTTGAACCAAACTGGTTGCAGTAAAATGATCCAATGACGGAGATCGCTGCATAACTGACAATATTTTTTTTTAACTGTTTTTTTACTTTGATGCAGTTAAAAGGTTCAACAGTTTTTCTACGGGAACGGGAAGGAAATCGCGAGAGCATGCGCAGTATTCCTTCTGACAAATTAAAACTTTTGTTACGCATGCTCACATGATTTCTCTTTTCTTTCTCGTTCCCGTAGAAAAATGGATGAGTGGAAACTCGCCTTAAAAGATTTTTCATAAAAAAAAATTAAGTTCTTGCATTCAGTAATTTGCTAAAATGCTTCGAACATGTAGACATACTCAAAAAAATAGACGTAAAAAAAGTTAAACTTTAGCTTCTAAGCAAAAGCAGCCAAAGTAAGTGGGCTGAAAGGTAAACAATTAGTAATTGGCAATAAATATAGCTGACGAAAAATGCCGCAAAAATTAAATTTAGCTATCAACACAACAAAACAACAACAACCAGTTGAACTCTGAACTTTAAATTTTTAAATTTCTTTGAGTTTTATTTACTGTTATCTTTTATTATTTATTATGTTTTTTTTTTGTTTTTTTTTTGTGTTCAAAACTTTTAAAGTTAAAACAATCTATTGTTAAATGTTAAGAAAGTTTGTCAATTGTAGACGTCCAACCATTGGACGTCTACAATTGACGTCTACAACCATTTTAGTCTACGAATGTAAATTTTTTTCTCGCTTAAATCGACCTTTTATTAAACACGTATTTTTTTTTTGTTTAAACGAATATAACTGATTATATTATAATTGGATAAATAAATATTGCAGTAAAATAATTTATATTATTAATTATTTAGTTTTACTTTTTTATGTTTAAATTTGTTAAAAATAAAACAATTATAAATAAAAGCAACAAGACAAAATAAAATTTAAAATAAAACAACCCGACGGGCATTTGTTTTAAAAGTTACGTTCTAAATGTGTTTTAAACGTCTTTAAAACGTCTTTTAAACATTAATGTTCAAAAGACGTTTAAAAGACATTTAAAATACATTTAGATCGTAACTTTTAAAAACAAATGCCCGTCGGGAACAATCATAATATGCGTCATTTTTACAACCAAAATCAAAATCAAGAAAGTATTTCGAACTTTAAATTTTTTTATTTATTTTAATTTTTTTTTATTAATTTTCATGAAATTTTACAAATGGAAAAATGATTTTAAAATGGGAAAGAGTAAAATTTAATCTAATAAACAAAATAATTCAAAACTTTAAAAATAATTAAGCTACTTTAATTAAAGGAGATTTTAAATAATTTTAATGTTTGGTTATTTATTCCATTGTTCGATTACTTGAAATATGCGTAATTTTAACTTATCTATGTTAACCAAAAAAGGAAAATGGGTTAAACTTATGCTTCAATATTTATATTATTGACAAGCAGTGCATCTCAAAATTGAAATTAATTTACAAAGCATAAGAATTTGGTTTTAAAAACTTTAAACTTATTTTTAAAAAGTAATTTTTGCCGGTAAAGAGTTAAATTAAAGGAGTTTAAAACGCAAAATAAGTCTTTTGCATTTCAAAAACGATTGAAACCATTAGGTTACACAAAATAGTAAAAATTAAAATCCTGGGACATACTTTCAGTAATAGTATTTCATGGAAATAGACCAATAAAATTTTTTATTACTTTTAAAATTTAAAATTTTACTTACTTTTCATATTTTTTACTAATGTAAATAAAGTATCATTTGTTAAATGTATTTTTGCTTTTTTTTTAGATTTTAGAAAATAAAACGTTTTTTTCAGGTGCGCATTGATTTTCTAAAATCTTTAATATACTATCTTCATTTTTTAAATTTAATTTTACAATATATTAAACAAATATCAAACAAATTTTAAATTAATAAATAAAACACAATTTCAATTGGAAAATAAAATGATTCATAAAAATGTTTAAAACTGATATTGATAATTGATTCAAAGGGTTCTTTCATTTTTGGTTTGATCAAACTTATTGATACAAACTGACTTTAAAACATCATTGAACTTGGACTCTGCTTGTAGGCAAATACAAAACACATTCTTTTACATTGACAAATATTTAAATATATACATATTTAGACTTGATAAACTACTTTTTTATTATTTTACTATTTTTTCATTCACTTGCTTTTTTTTGTCTTTTTTCGTGTCTTATTTTGGGTTACCGTTTCTAACACCTGTTACCCAATTGATTCATGTTGTTGAGTTACTCTTAAAGTTTTTAAAAGGTGTTTTTTGGTATTATTTGTGAATATGGTAGCGAATCCGGATTATCTTAAATTGTTAATTAAAATTCATTAAAATTATGGATAACTCTATAAACATTTTTAGAATTTTTTTGTGTTAATCAAGAGAACATGTTCTCACACAGTCAGGGATTAAAACAATTAGGACTTTTTATAAATAACATCTTTTTTGAGTCTGACAAAAACTGAATACATCTTGCTGCTTGTGCAAATTTATCATTTTACATCCACATTTAGACCCGACTCTGTAATACTAACCACGTTAGCTGCTTTGATACAAGATTCTTTTGTTGTCCATGATGACCATATCTCTCTTCATATTTCGATGTACTCAAAACAATCTTACCTTATTATATAAGAGAACAGTTTTAATTTACATTGACAAAAATGATGGTGTAAACTACTATTTAATTGATCCAATATTTGTGTTTACACCTGTTGTGTCTGGCGGACCAAAAATACGAATTTAATTTTGTTTGTTAAGTTGGTTTTATTAAATTACATTTTGTCTCTGTAAAAAAAGCAGCTTAAAATTTGTTTTAGGTCTTAACCTGAAGTTAAACTTTGATCTTATTTTATTATGGCATTTTTAAAAGGCATATTTTGAACAATGTAAATTATACCTTTTTAAATTAATTAAAAATACTGACCTGCACTTTAAAGTACAAAAAACCTACATTATAAAATGCAGCTGAAAATCTGGAAGTCATTTATACAATCTGCTTACATAAGTTTAACATAAAGAAGAAGTTCTCCACCAAACAAAAAAGAATATTTTGCCAATCTAAAAAGAGTTGTTATATTTTGTTAAATTTAGCATATTCTGTGATTTTTTCTTGCCACACCCCACACACAGCAGTGAGTTGTTTTTTGTTGTTTCTCTTATAAGCTTCTAATGTAATCGGAAAAAGCTTTTGATTTAATAATGATTTTAAACTATGGGACTTCCTTTTCTTTGAGCCATATTTCTTTTATTTGACACAGTTCATCTACTTAAATGTATTCGCAATAACTGGACTTCTGAAAAGTGTCAAAAGCTCTCTATGGTTTTATTATCTCTCGATAATAAAACCATAGCTTCATTTTCAGATGTGAAAAGTCTATATCAATACGAGAAAGAGAACACTTTGAAAACAGTTCCTTTATCCTATGCTGCTGTCTATCCTTCAAGACTTCGACTACAGAATGTGCAGCATATTTTAAGAGTGTTAAATGAAAAAGTAGTAGCTTCCCTTAAAACATAAGGAGCTTATGAAACAACCTCTTTTATCCAGCAGATTTTAGATTGGTAGAATATTGTTAATGTTTCTGCAAAAGGGCAGGATGTTAGGTTAAAAGATCACAACCGATCTGTGCAAGATAAAAAGTCAAATAATCTTTAATTGTTTTTAGACATATTTAAATGTATGGAATCAGGACATGGTCCTAAACGAGTTCAGTGTGTTACCCATGATACCAAAAAAGCCCTTGTGCAAACTACTGAAGGATAGATAGCTGTCTACAAACATTTGTTTTCAGTTGGTTTTGATTATGTTTTGCTTCGTGAGCTACAAAGT